GAGTTAGATACTTCTGATTAAGGGAGCTTTTTTTTTACTAATAAAAGAACTTGGGCTGTCTGTTGCTAGGTGCAAGACAGTATTGCATGGGTTTGAATCCCATCAAGAGTTAGATACTTTATTCTGCCTAGACAAGTACTTTTTCTACTAATTAAAGAACATAAGCTGTCTGTTTTCCAGTGCTAGACAGTGTTGTATGGGTTTGAATCCCATTAAAAGTTAGATACTTCTGACTAAGTGAGCTTTTTTCTACTAATAAAAGAACTTAGGCTGTCTGTTGCTAAGTGCAAGACATTGTTGCATGGGTTTGAATCCCATTAAGAGTTAGATACTTAATTCTGCTTAGACGAGTATCTTTTTACTGATCAAAGAACATAAGCTTTCCTTTTTTCCAGTGCAAGACAGTGTTGTATGGGTTTGAATCCCATTAAGAGTTAGATACTTCTGACTAAGTGAGCTTTTTTTACTAATAAAAGAACTTAAGCTGTCTGTTGCCAAGTGCAAGACAGTGTTTTTCATGGGTTTGAATCCCATTAGAGTCAGATACTTCTGACTAAATGAGCCCCTTTTCTACTGATAAAAGAACACAAGCTGTCTGTTTTCCAGTGCTAGACAGTGTTGTATGGGTTTGAATCCCATTAAGAGTTAGATACTTCTGACCAAGTGAGCTTTTTTTACTAATAAAAGAACTTAAGCTGTCTGTTGCCAAGTGCAAGACAGTGTTTTTCATGGGTTTGAATCCCATTAGAGTCAGATACTTGTGACTAAGTGAGCTTCTTTTCTACTGATAAAAGAACACAAGCTGTCTGTTTTCCAGTGCTAGACAGTGTTGTATGGGTTTGAATCCCATTAAGAGTTAGATACTTCTGACTCAGTGAGCTTTTGTCTAATGATAAAAGAACTTAAACTGTGTGTTGTCAAGTGCAAGACAGTGTTGTATGGGTTTGAATCCCATTAAGAGTCAGATACTTGTGACTAAGTGAGCTCCTTTTCTACTGATAAAAGAACACAAGCTGTCTGTTTTCCAGTGCTAGACAGTGTTGTATGGGTTTGAATCCCATTAAGAGTTAGATACTTCTGACTCAGTGAGCTTTTGTCTAATGATAAAAGAACTTAAACTGTGTGTTGTCAAGTGCAAGACAGTGTTGTATGGGTTTGAATCCCATTAAGAGTCAGATACTTGTGACTAAGTGAGCTCCTTTTCTACTGATAAAAGAACATAAGCTGTCTGTTTTCCAGTGCAAGACAGTGTTGTATGGGTTTGAATCCCATTTAAGAGTTAGATAATTCTGCCTAAGAGAGTTCCTTTTCCACTGATCAAAGAACTTTCACTGTGTGCTGTTCAGTGCAAGACAGTGTTTTATGGGTTTGAATCCCATTAAGAGTTAGATACCTCTGACTAAGTAAGTCCTTTTTCTACTGATAAAAGGACTCTCACTGTCTGTTTTCCACTCCAAGACAGTTTTTTGATGGATGTGAATTCCATTGAGATTTAAAAACAAGCCTTTAACCTTCCCAGTAGCTGCAGGAATGCCACAAAAGTGGCATAATTTGTGGATAAGTGTGCTCCTGAAAAATGTTTCCGTTAGATTTGAGTAACTTAAAAATAACAACTGAAAAGTAAACTGTATTAGTATGTTTATGTCCTGAAAAATAAACCAATTGTTAGTAATTTTTTTTTGCTATGGGAAAATGACTCACACACAGGGTTTTTTTTGTTTTATTGTTTTCAGACAACTTTTACATGATGAACCTATGTCTAGATCTCCTGAAATTAAAATGTTGGTTGATTTGCAAATGTTTAGTGCAGGATGCAGAATATCAGCTAAAAGAATAAAAAGTCCTGAAAAAGAAAGCTGTTAGTAGTTTAGTTTTAAAAATTGCTCAGACACCACTGTTTATAGTTTTTATTGTTTCCAAATTCTTTTACATTGTAGGACCTATGTTTATCTTATCCTGAAAAAAATAGATTGTTAGTAGATTTGTTTTGCATGGTTTGCATAATTAGCTGAAAGGTAAAATTTGTGCTGAAAATAGAATGGTGTTAGTAGTTTTTAGTGTATCTGTACAAAAATGGACACAGACACAGGCTTTTGTTTCTTTTATTATTTTAATAATGTTACATCATTTCTATATTAAGTTAGTGTCTGGTTGGGATGCGCATTCCTAAGCGAAAAAATTTTCACCTGAAGAAACCTCAAGTGTTCTTGTGTCAGTAAATGTCGACACCCCGAAGGAACACTCAGGGTGTCCCAGAGTGGATCACGAGCAGCCTGCTAACAATAATTACTGTCGCTACCAGGCTTCTGTAATGCAATTATAACTGAAATTGGATGCCAATCATATTTAATACCGAAAGCCGAAATGATGATGGCAGCGAGTTTCGAAAGTGCTGAAAAGCCGGAGGAATATAATTAAAGTGTCTACGTACCTGCTGACCTTACCTTCTCCGTGATAGCTGCCTTAGTGATCTTTGTGTTCAGTGGAGACTGAATATTATTTACAATAATTTGGTTGACAGCAAGTTTGCTGTTATGTCAAGAAAATTGGCCTAAAGTATGTGTTAAAAGCTGAAAGTTTAATATTTTTTTAACTTCAAAGCTATGTCCTCTCCACTGATCCATCCTCATGATTGATTTGTGATGCTTGGTGATGAGTTGATTTCTCTACAAATTTTGGCTGACATGATAATTGTTTTGTGTTGTAAACTTGAAGCAAAACAATAGCCTAAAAATTTGTCAGACAGCTTTCAAGCTATCACAATGTTCTTTACAATTGGCTTAATTTTTTTGTGACCTAAACTGTGGTGTGTGTATCCCCTATATTCCACTAAATGAAGCCTCGACTGGCGGCCTCAACTGGAGCTAAACCATTAAACAGGATAGAAGTAGCAAATGGGCATACTTCCCCTACCGATTGGCTTAAAATCTCCAGTTACTTACAGCAAGTAAATGTCTGGTTGAACCTTTAGGCCAAAATGGTTTTGCCGTAATAAATTTTATGGCATAATTTGGACGAAAGAGTCTCACTGGATGCCAGTCGTTTGTATGGCTGTTATCCAGTGAAACTTTACATGAAAAATAGGTTTTTTAGAGCGCAACTACGCAGGAGATTTTGCACTGAAGAAGCTTGTGCTGTCCACAGCAGAGCCATTGTAGTTCCATGTTCGAGGTAAATGAAGATCTTTAGTCTCGAAATTGATGCGGATGTGAGGGCCGAAAACCTAAGCCGAAACCTATCCGAACCTAAACCGAGAATCTATGCCGAACTTAAGCCGAAAATACCTGAAAAGGAACCCAAAGGAGAAACCTAAAGGGAGGACCCATCCAACCCAAGGGGACCCAACTAACTAACCTAACTACATTAGATTAAGCCGAATGCGAAGTCCATGGACTTCAGGCCGAAATTTGATATAAGGTTCATCCAGAGCTTTAACTAATAAACCTTCCATTCCAACCCAAAATGAATGAGCTAACCAGTTTGTGTTTGTCTTCCATCAGTATCTTCTTTCCCAGTTGAACATCTGTGAGTAAATCCTAAGATGTGACGTAAATTGAAGAGAAGTGAAGAGAAACCTTAGGTCTCATCTTCCAACAATCCAATTTTTTAACATCTTAAAATGTCCCCATCAGAGTCAAACTGGTACACTTTTGCTTGAGTGGTGGGGTGGCTGGATCAGGTAGCATTCCACAGGGAGAGGGTAACACTGAAACGAAAACAAAACTGAATGAATGATTTATTGATTTTTGATAGAGTTAATGTGTAGGTATTATATGAATTAATTCAAGCATGAATGAAAGATGGCGGGAAGGAAGGAGAAATAAAGGAATTGATGAATGAATGAATTTTATTTGGTCTGAATGGATGGAAATATCAGTTAATGGATAATAAATGAAAAAAAACTTGTGAAAAAGCATCTTTGTTACAAAATTCTGTTCCTAAGCAAGTACCATCTGTTGAAAATAGTAAAAAGTAAAATTACAGCTATACATAGAGTACACACGAGACCAGAGCACAACCTCAACTAGAACAATAGATATCTTAACTGTGTAACGCAGGTCTTTTAGTGAGTTTTTTGATGGTAATTTTAACCTGCGCAAGTTGATTAACGAGGAATTGATTCACCGTGAATGCTTTCATCTCCCAAATATGTAAACCAAAAGAATGGAGAAAACCGGGTAAAGTTTCAGCACAGCCCCATACTATTGTGAAACAAATCTGTTTTCCCAATGGCAATGTATTGTTTTTGTCACTGTTTTCTCTATTCAAGAACTGAATGCACAATATAGGATAGGGCTGTGCGGAAATTTTATCGTAAACCGGTAGTCGAAAGGAACGACAGAAATGAATATTCTGAGTGAGCGGTCCGCCGATTTGTACGCCTTTACAGTTTGATGGTTAATTTCAAAAAAGATTATTTTCATTCTTTTCAATGAATTTTTTGTAGTTAAACTGTAGGAGTACTTTCAAACAGTTGTGATTTAATTTAGTGGCAGCAAAAATCGACCGAATTATCAGTTTTTAGTGACAACGAGGCACTCAAAAAAAATTAAGAAGCAATAGCATGGAAAACAAACTTATAAGTGGCCAGTGCACGTTTCAAATTGTTGCCCACCAAGTATGCTTTGTTGCTTAAAAACCTGAAGTTGAAGCCGAATACATAACTTTCACTTTAGCATGAATGGAAAAAGAACGCAAAAACGACTATTTTGTCGTTAATTTACCTAGTTTGACACAACGAATTTTTTTTACAATGAAATAATTCAATTTACCAAGTGAAATAAAACAGAAGACACTTCGCAAACCTAGAGCTCGTGTTTTTCGCGCCTATCGCCTTTCACGACTGGAGGTGTTCTGGAGAAGCTTTCCCTTTTGAGTGAATTATTTTGTAAATTATTCTCAAGTCTGAAGCATTCACCTTACATAGCTGACAATTCCACTGTGATATGTGAAACGTGTAACAAAGGATAATTATTTACCTCTTTCTATTTCCATTGTAGCGTGTTTGTCATCTTCCGCGGCTGCAACATTCACATTTGACGAGTGCAAGGAAGCCAAGAAGTTAGGAATTCTTTTGGGTAAGTTCTGTAACGAAAAACGAAATTATAATCAGTCGGCACTAAATATGAGCTTACTTTTGTTTCACAGAATGTCTTGACCAAACTTTAACTAGCGAAAAACGTGGATTTTTTTTTAGAGCGAACAGAGCTACGATTTTCTCCGTGGAACACGTGCATGTTTGAAATTAGAAATAAAACCGTATTTAAAAATATTAACTCACCAGTTTTCCTAATCCTTCTTTCCAGTTCGTAATTTTTTGTGGGGTTTTACCACCGTATTAGCCTTGAAGAATACTATATAGCTTCTTCTTTCGGAAGATTAAAACAGTCTTCCGTCTTCCACGTGTTGTTGTCGGAATGGAAAAGTTTGAAAAGCGCGCCTTGTCTTGTTTCAAGCCCACGTGTTCTAACACTCGTCGCTGATTGGCTTATTTTGTGTCAGCCATCTAACGTCATAGGTTGTCACTTTGGTAAAAAATTCTTTCAAATATTATTTATGTGGCAGCCCTTTTCAGACCCCTTTTACTTCCGGCCAAGGAAACAAGGAGCTCTTTTTTCAAAAACCGAGATCAATTGCTGGGTAAAGTTACCATTAATCTGCAACTCCCTTGGATTTTCATGTTGCCACAAGGACTAATGAAACCTGCGTTAAGATCCCACTACGTTCCTTTGTACAGTATTATATTTATCGAGTGATAGTGCATCGCATCGCCTTGCATTACGCTACATTGAGTTGTATCAAATTGTCCTTTTTTGCGTTTTTTCATCCTTTCATTAAGTATATGCTGATGTAATTTACCTATGGTATTGAGCATCAAAAGAAACAAAAATTTACTAAATTTTAAGAAACCTGCAAAACATTTAGTCAGAACGCTATCCGCTTTTACCACCAGTAACCTGATAGGAAATTCTACTCTTGTTGAGCTCAAGGGCACATAACATCGAAAAAGAAGACGACGAATAAAAGTGTCTCCCAAACCCCTTAGCAACGCCCATTTAGATGTCATGTCATGCCAGAGGCCGCGATTGAAGTTCCAAAAAAATGGGAGAAACTGTTTTGCCCTCGCTGAGATTAATATGCGTGCTGATCCGTCACTCGGATTTGTCGACCCGTAGCACACCCAGAACACACCGGAACCTCTGTCAGTTGGGTCCTTTTGAGTCCCTAATCTTTCAACGTAGATGGGTCGGGACATCTTTATGATAGCAAATCGGACAATTTCAGCCTTCAGTATATCCAGACTAACAACAACTTTTCATATTCAGACTCCAAGGATGTTCAAAATAATAGTGACGTCACTGTCCCTCAGCAGGGAACGAAGAAACTGGATAGGGCACGAGGTTGACCACTACTACTGCTGCTGCAACTGCAACACGAGTCTTCAGGACTGAGTTTACCAACGATCGAGAAATGGAAATTTCTCTGATATCGCAAATCTGTAAATTTTGCACTGCACTGACTAATTTATTGAGGCCACGCCCAGTTTACGTTATTTTAACTTCTAAAGTTCCTGAGGAACCTTTCAACGCGTACATCGAGGTATCCCCTTGTTCTCCTTGTCAGCAGCATAGGAAACATGTAGAGAACAGTATGGAGAATATGCATACTGATGTTAGGGTGTAAAGGGTTTAACTCTTAGTATTTGACTTCAACTCTCCCTTCCACCGTCCACACATTTCAAGATATTTTTTGCTATGTCTTCTCGTTAGCCCTTCGTCAGAATATCGCTCTGACGAAGGGCTTACGCTCGAACGTCAGCTTTTTACTCTTTGCGGTGGCCAATTTACGTGTTCAACTCAGTTGTTAACACTAAATTACCTGCTATACTCTCCCACCGACGCAGCACCACAGTTTCTCTAGAAACTTACTCCCTTTATTCATTTGTCGTTTAATAAAAGTAGTCGAGTTTGTGGGATTATAGTGTTTTTGTCGGTTAGATTATAGCGTAACAACTGCACTATCTAGCGGATAGCGTTATCCATCCTTAAACAACCGGGGTCAGTAAGATTGAAGGAAGCACATGAACAGAGGAGCTTTAGGCCCCCTTTTTCAACCAGCATATATTGAATTGAAGCCCAACATTTTTTTCTTTTTGTTAATTTTGAACATAATTTCCATTGAGCATAATTTGGTGCGTCTGAAAAGCGGCAAAGTGACACCTGACAGGCTTATGACATATTTCCTTAACAAAGGGCGCACAGTCAATTGTTATTGTTCTACTATGTAATAATTGTTATACATGTTACTCAACAGGTGCAACTTTGTTTATAAGTATTTTCAGGCCGATCGTTTGAGTATTGTAACCTTTCCGAGTTTCAGTTTTACAGAAAGAATAGGAGGCTTCTGCAATTAAGTAAACTTTATTAAATTAATATTTTCGCACGCTAAGAGATCATAAAATTCAAAGTTAAATACACATCTTATGACTTCTAAAATTTACGCGTCTTCTATCTTCATCTGGGAGGATTTCATAACCAAATAGACGTTTCTTGGGGGACCTGCAAGAAACCAATTGATAAAGTAAGGAGAACAGGCAGTGTTCTCAAAAACTTTCCTACTAGCCAGCCTAGAAAAAAAAGCATGCTTTGCCTACGGAAATTAGCCGGCGAGAACACCATCCGCTGGTATTTCTGGAGAACACTGAACAAATGGATGATATCGTAATGAATCAAAAACCGGAAACTGTAGAATTATGCCAGTCTCAAGTCTTCCTTTTTCATAGCAAAAAAAACCCAGGAAAAGAAACTGGTTTGAAAACAGAGTGAAATGAAGCAAACCATACCTCGAACATGAGAAGTGTTACGTATAGACGGCATTGATGCTAAAAGTTTCTTCATTTTTGTCTTCTGAGTCGTTAATGAAGATGAGAATTTCAGATTTTCCTGGGAACTGTTGTGGTGTGAAGCGAAGACCGATACTGTGCGATTCTCCGGTACCAATCTGGCAGATTCAAACACACAACGTATGGCGAAATTGGTTACACGAAACAAAATTATTCAGCAAGAAAATTATAAAATAATCAGACGATAGCCCCCCCCCCCTCCCACAAAGAAAAAAAGAAAAAAAAATGAAATGTCTTATCACAATTGACAAAAATATAAATGACAAAATAAGTTATGCGAATTTGAAAACACGACAAACATATTTTTATTACTTTTTTAGCCCCACCCCTTTCTTGAAAGTTCCTGGGCTAAAACCCGTAGTGCCTGCTCGCTTTTTCGTTTTTTTCCCTAGCTTCTTGTCAATTTTGTGAGACAAATTGCTTTTCTTTACCCAGGCAAATAGCAAAATAGCATTTGACAGAAGGTAAACAGTGATTTTCCTTACTTCAGGTTAGTTAGGAACCCTGTGCACCTGCACTCGTTGTAATTTTACCTGAATGATGCTCTCCTTAAACTGTAGCATGTCAGGCCTGTTAGTCTTCAGATGGAACGTCTTCTTGGTAGGATAAGGATTGGTGAATGATACGCGCTGATAGGAAAAAAACAAAACATCATTTAGTCAAGTACCTGGTTATGCTGTTCCCGCGTGCCAGCCCTCTCATCCCCCGGCTAAAATCCAGTTATACCCCCCCCCCCCTTAAAAAACAGAGACACTTTTGTGTACGTATATCCGTTCTTCACAAAATAGTCGGAACGCGAAACTTTCTTAGCCCTTACTGTAACAAGCCTATCGAAGACTCTTTAGCCTCTTAATGACTTTGATTGGTTTTCAGTGTTATGTAACAGCACCCTTCCACGTTTTTATTCCAGCTTAGCTGGGTGAATAATCAGTGGTAAAACTTTAGAAAAACAAACGAATCATTTTGTTAAATATCGATTTTACAAGATTTTCCAGGGAAGACTACAAACATACCACTAAATTATACATATATGTTCACTCTGGCGAAGGGCTAACGCTCGAAACGTAACCTTTTGAAACTCTTTAACGGTGGCCGATTTACATTTACAACTCAGTTGATAAAACCAATTTGATTATCATGTAATAGCACCAAATTTTCTATAGGAACTCCCCTTTTATATTCATGCTGAGGATAATACTACATATAATAATCTCCGTGACCGACGATTTCCCGCAGAGAAACAGTCTACCGTCAAATAAACCGGGAAACATTTTGCATTCGTTTGGTTTGTCGGGAATTGCCAACGCGCCGTCCGTTTTAGCGACTGCCGTTAAAGGCCGACCGTATTATGTCTACGTAAACCTTCCGATCGGCTACGATGAAAAAAAAAATCGACGCTTAACCGAGAAAACAATGTAAAAACCTACCTTGTTCGAACCCTTTCCACCGCCAACTTGTATCTGGAGTTCAAACGATTTAGAAATAACGGGCATTTGACAAGAGGCACACACAAGCCAAGTTCTCACAAGTTGATGAAATTCCACATCTGATACGTGTAGTAAAGGAAAACGATTTTACACTCAAAACATATGCCTGTTATCTGAAGCTTGTTCGGCTTTGGAAAGCTGATCTCCTTTCATTTTGCTAACAAACCATAACTTCTGTCCCTATTTCAGTGAGACTCGTGAAAACAACCTGTAACTTCAAGCCCGTGTTGACTGCCATTTGCGCACGAAAAATTCTCGCTCTTCAGCATTTGCCACATAAAATTCGATTTGCAGTCTTCTTCACATAGTCACACGTACCTTACTACTTGATTGTCATATATTTATGGTGAGGAAGATAAAATCTGAGTGATCTATGACGCTATTAAAGCTTTCATTTTACCCCAAATAAGTTAGCTTTCAGCTAATAAGTTGTTGTTTTTGTAGCAAAGGATACCAACCACGTTAACGTACATATAGCGCATGGTCCCAGATGTGTGGGGTCGTAGTGTTAGATGGACTTCGTGAACAGCGTTCGCCATTAACATGATTGGGTCGGTGGGCTTGACCTGTAGTGAAGCAAGTCTGTCAGTATGAGCAAATGTATACACACTAGGACGGCGAGCCTGAGAAACGCGAGGCTTGGCGCTTGCACGTTTTTATTAAAGAAGATGTACTCTGTATTTCATCACAAAGAAAAAGTCACCAGCTAGAAGTGTTAGGATGCGTCTAGAGAGGTACAGAAAGATTCAAATTATTCATAGGGATGATTTTCACTATTACCTCCCACAAGTATTTAAGCTTTCACTACTTAAAATACCAATGCAATATCCAGAAAACAGGTCATAGGAATAGACAAAACTGTCAGCAATAAAAGGTTTCTACATGATGTAAAGTTAGATTCACTTGACTCATTTACAAGGGAGCGTATAGCAAGTAGAGGGGTGAATAAGGAATCAGATCTTGGAACTTACCTGTAATTCTTCGGGGTGAGATGAAAAACACTGAACAAGACGACTGGACTGAGTTCCACGTAAAATCACAGACAGGCGACTGCTCTGACCTTGGACAGCAGACAAGTCGATTCTACGACAGTTTGCACGAAAAAGACCAGTTACAGAGACGAGCAAACGTCTTGCAGCGATTCAGGTGAACCACATTAAAACGTGAATTTCCAGTACCCTTTTTTTTTTTTCAAAGTTAAGGTAATTTTACATTTGACTAAGTTTAGATTTTTCTTTTCTTTCTTTGTGGTGGGCCTTGAATGTAAACTTTTCGGAGTACAAGTAAAGTATTTCCTACCTTTGTAATGAATGAACATAGAACTGCCATGTTTGACAAGGTTCGGCGAGGAAAGGATCTCTGAAATCAAAATACACGGACTGAAGATTAAAAGAGCATCAAAGCGCAATGGAGTGTCGAAAGATGTGTATTGTTTTGGCCTTTCTACCCCGAAGTACGCTTTGAGATTCGCTAAAAACACTCGCGCCACCTTTGTAACCAATCAGAGACAACAGTTAAACCAACAGTGACTTGCCCATTCTTTTTTTCCAAACTCAAAGCCATTGACGTGAATTTACTCTGATTCATCATTGGTTCATTACGACACAGATTTATCTCTGTTCTCATCTCGGTTTTGGTTTACGAACTTCAATCGACAAGCGCTTTGCATGCGTTACCTCTGATAAGCGAAATTGAGTACAATCGTCCAATATCCATAAGAACTTACATGTACAAGAGAACGAAAAACCTCTTTAGAGAAGGAGAGGGTCCACATGCGATCTTGAGGAAAACATCCTGAGGTTCACCTGACGGCTTGAGAGTTAATCATAAAATCCACACATTATTTCCATATCAGAATGATGTTATAAAACGCTCAGATGAAACGGGTGAAGATTTATGCTGAGGTACCGTTATGAACTACCTCAGTAAGCCTTCAGTAGAGGTCATCTTTGGCAAATTCTCGGCAGCAAACAAACTTTCCTGGGTTTGTAGTCTCGCATGCAGTATGTCTCACTACTTAGTCACTGTGAGCTGAGCCGTAACTTGTATAGCTAATTTTACGCGGCAGCCATTATAATTTTTTCGAGTGAAGAGTCTATTTTATCAGCGGTTCTAAGAAAAAGCTAAAACTCAGTGTTATTTCACTCGTGATAAGTAAGATCGTACCATCTTTCTAGCTTCACAAACAGCATTCACATCACTGCAGCGTACATGTACTTGAGGTTGCGTGTTGTCGTCCATTACTGGCGCGCCTAGGAAAAACAAATCAACACTATTCAATCAAGGTGGAAGATAAAATTCTTAAACGCTACTTGTGCATCCAACAGCATCACCAAATTTTTTTAACCTTAAAGTAATGTTTACTCTTCAGTTGCGTAGAAGCAATTTCGTCTAGCTGGGTAGGCTAAAAAACCTACAGATTTTAAGTGAGACGAATAGGGTGAGGTGGGGAAAGTTTCGTCGTGTGTTTTTTTACCTGGTAATGATCGCCAGGGAGGTAGTCTGATGGTCTTTTTCAAGAACGACTGCTCTGCGTGGTAGAACCTGAACGTTCTGTCTATCACATGGGGTCGAGGTTCAACTTGAAGATTAAGAATAGCTATTGGACGCTCATCCGTGTTTCTGAATGCCACCTTAAGGAGAGACGCAAAGCTGAATTACAATTTATTGCTAATGCTGAGGACTAAAGTGAAAGCTAAACGTAAGTTTACTCCCTTAAAGTATCGGTCGCATGTTTTCCCCACTTAAAGCAAAATTGATTTTAGAGCGGAAGTCCTCACCATCATGTATTTTCCTTTGTAGGCACATGATACATTTTCCAACGTTATCTACACGTATTTTCGCCCTTGTCATATGGGATATTTTTCACCCTTGTCACCGCAAGCACTCGCTCTAACGATGGGCTATCGTTTTGAAACGTCAGCTTTAGAATCTCTTCACGGAAGCCAATTCACATTATCAACTCAGATGATAACACCAAATTATACCTTCATAACAGGCTCCGTAAGCAATACCGCTTTATATACGACACGGCAAAAGTCACTTTGACATAATAATCTATTAGTGAAGACCAATGCCAAAG